TACCCGAAACTATATCTCGATCAAAATTATGCGACACAAAAATGGTCATCGAATATCTCGTGTATTTTGTAACGCGACTACTTACCTTATCCCATATATCAGATTTCTGAGACCAAACGGTCCTTACCCAGAACTTTATTTTGACCAAAATTCTACGGCACAAAAACCCCTTTATATAATCTAGATATCAGAGTATTAATTTTTTATTTGAATTTTTTCCTCCCATTATTGTAAGAGGGACAAAAATCCTTTTACCCGGATATATAACTAGCCGAATGTAGCAATCTCTCTTCTCCAGAAATTACTACTTAACTAGATTGTATTATCTTGAACAACAGTTATGCATATTCAATAAAGGCTAAAGAGCGGGGTTTTAATTCTTTTTTGTATAGAGTGGTAGGAACCTTCATTTTAGCCTCGAAATTTCGTTTATATTCCAAGAAAGCAACCTCATTCATACTCTCACGTTCTTTTTTCCAGTAATTTTGATTATCTCGTAATTCAAAGACAATATTGGTTCTCCATTGTTCTAGCTTTTCTTGAGATATTTTGAATTTTCGCTGTAAAAGAATGATAAGGGTATCTATATCAGATTCATTTTTGATGAGATATTCTGAAGATAAAGAAATTAAGGATTCAGGTAACTCTTTTTTAGCTTCAGTAATGCTTGAGAATTGTTCAGAATTATTTGATTGATTTTGAGTTAATACCGAAGAAGGTAATTGTGGCAATTTTGTTACAGATTTCTCAACCATATTATTACAAGAACTATCTTCACAAACCTCATTACTGGATTTTGAAATGGTGATATCAGTAGTAATGGGTATTGAATCAAAAAGTTCCTGAGTTTCATCAATCGATTCTGGCTTGTATGGTGGAAGAATTGGAATTGTAGGACGATAATTAGGATCATTCAACTTTATAGCCTTTATTCTTTCTTGAGTCTCAAAACCAGCTCCATTATCTGGTACACGATAAATCCAATAAGTGCTTTTCCATACTCGCTGATCTTTCGGTCCTTCTTTTCTTCGTTCACTCTTGATGATATAACCACACCAATTACCCAGTATTGCATTAATAAACTTTATTGTGGCGTTGAGGTCTGGTATTCCTTTAGCTCTGGTCTTAAAACCAAAGAGCAATAATGCATCTTCTCGAATTTTAACAATTTTTTCCTGTGATTGTTTGAAAGCTTTTGCCACATCATCACCAGAAAGAATATTCGTATCATCTATATCACTGAAGCCTATCGATTGGACAAGATTATGTACTGCTTTCCACTGTTTTACTGAATAAAATTTATGCAAATCGACTGAGGATGGATACATAGAATCGTGTGAATCTTTCCATTGCATTTCTTCTTTAACTTCTAGATTTTCTATAGCTTTTGTTGCATTGGAACCTTGTCTTCTGAAATATGCTAGCCTCCTAAAATATTGTAAAGGTTCAGGATTATTATATCTTTCCACGAAATTTATATCACAAAGCTTAACCCAATCATCATTATTCATACCCCAATTCCGAATATCATCTCTACCTCCAATATCGCCTGAAGCATATGTTCTCCATAAATAATAACGTTGTAAGGTCATATTATCAGTGAAAGAACGTTCAGGATTTAACTTAAGCATTTCAGCTTCATTAGGATTGATATCTGGAGCATTAACTATTAATTCCACATCAGAGCTTTTGATCTTTTCTTCAATCTTCTTAATAGTATGGGAAACTTCTTTCCTGTTAACTTTTTCGGTATCTTCTGCTGAAATTAATTCAAGTGTTGCTCCAGTACTAGCAATAAGGCTACAAAGAATCTCGGGAAAATATTTGGTTGATAAGCGTCTCTGATATTCAACTTCGATATAGGTTTCCACTGCTGGAGATAAATTAAGTGCATAACAATCAGCAATTTTATCCCATTCACGCTGGCCTTTGATTACTGTTGGTAAGTCTCCAGGTCTTAAGGCTGAAAGTTCAGCCCGAATGAGTTCCCGACATGGTTCTTTGAAAATATCAAATTTTTTGCTATGATGAAGGGAAACCATATGTAATGGACAGTCGCGGATTCTGAACAACATCTGAGCAAATGCTTCAACATGAACTGGAGTGGCAATATTAGTAATTCCTATAACTGCATCGAAATAATCAGATATTTCAAAGGAGATGCCAGCTTCCACAGTGCTTGTATAAATTACACAGTCAAGAGCACTCCAGGTGGCATCAATATTAGCAAAATCATCTTGGCGTTGCTTCCCATCCATTTGGCCAAAATAAACTCGTGATGAAATGAATGAACCATCGGGTTTTTGCAACTTAGATGCTTGATCAGCTAAGGCTCGAGCTTTTTTACATGAGGTCATCACAAATGCAACATGCTTACCTTCTTGGAGCATTCTAAGACCTCTACGTATACCTTCTGAACCTTTATCCGGATCGTACAGAAGTTTAACAATTTCCCCTTTACGTGGTTGATATTTGTTATCAATAACTTGAATATTCTCACCTCGATAGGATTTTAAGAAAGCCAAAGTCGAATCATTTGCAAAAGCATCCATAGCAACAACATGAGTGGCTAAATTTAACAAATCACGCATAGCATTTGACGATTCTCGAGCATGAACTCCACTAGCCATTTGACGCATAGTGGCATTCGCTTCATCTAAAATTGCTATACAGGAACGGCCCCCTTGAAAATCAAGACGAAGAATACTTTCAACTTGTACAATAATAAGATCCCACTCACGTGTCTTTAGGTCGGCCACAATATTCTGATATTGCCCTACTTTGAAATCGAATTTTTCCAATTCTTTAAGTTTAGCTTCGGATTCATTACTAAGGGTTTTACGATATGAAACCCAGATAGTACAAGGTAAATTAGCACCACTTTGAGCTAAAGATGCCAAAATTTTTCTTAATGTTTTCGTTTTTCCAGTACCCACAGTAGATCGAATAAGAGTCGTACTAGGTTCTTCACTTAAAAAGTCTGGAAAAACATCTAAGGCATCCTCCATCTCTTTTACATTAATACTTTCTCCAGGTAATTCGGGAAATTGATGTGGAGTTGATAGAGCCTTGGGTAATCTTTTGCATAATCTCCACTTCTTGGACTTTTCTTTCGACTCAACTTTATCTGATACCTTACCAAAGCTCAGTCCCTTATGATCCGGCTTGTACTGTTTTTGGTGATAACACTTAAGTACAAAATGCCCATTTTTTCGAATAAATCCATATAGTTGATCCTTATCATGTTTAACATCACATATAGGGCATTCTTTAATGGATTGTGCTTGAAAGTTGATGAATCCTTTCTCGATTCTTCCAATCTGGAGCCACCCATACTTTTCAATAACTATATTAGCCCCAATAACCAAGGCATTTTCATCATTGATAGGCTGGGATTCTTGTTTTACTGGCTCCTCAGAAGAAAAGGTTCGTGGCCAGATCACAGAATAATTCTCTTTAGGCTGAACCAGATAATCATCTAGATTTTTAAATCTGTTTTTAACAGAAGAAATAGCAGGTCTTTTAATTCTTTTTTCTTTTGCTGATCCAAGAAGCCGAAGGCTAAAACGTGTCTTGGGAAGGCCAACATCTATAAACTTCGAGTAAGGTTTTCCAACTAATTCGATAACTTTTTCCGTAAAGCCCTTAAGTTCTCTATAATCTACGAATCGAGCGTAAGGATAAATAATATGCCAGCTACATTTATCAATATTTGATGAACTAGCTAGAGAAAAAGACTCTAAGGTGATAGCTATAACTTCTGGTATAAGATATAATGCATCTGCACATGCAATTAATATTCTAGACATCAAATCTTCACAAGTAATTTTTTCACTATCTAAAGAAGGAAGTTCAGGATTTAAGGGATCCGGTTTTTGCCTTGCATCAATATCAATAATCAAACGAAGAGGCTGATTTCCATCAATACATTCATGTGAATCAGGAAATCCATAAATTTCAGAAGGATGAACGATTAATGTAAAGCCTTTTCCTGCCACCCGGATTATATATCGAGAATAAATCTCTTCAGGTTGGTATGCCTCTAAAAGTGCTGTGTCATTTTTATCATTGGATCCAAGCAAATATTTATAATACATATGTTCTCCATGGCCAGGTTTATAGTCAAGATCCGTTAAACCTTTGAAAATTATTTTTGCCTCATTATATTCGGCCAATTTTTGATTTAGGCGCTGTTGTTCTAATGATTCACATAAACGTTTTTTTGCTTCACTAGATAAACTCATTTTATTGATTGTATATATGCGTCGTTTGATCTGACAAAAAGTATATGTAGTAATATATGTATTGTTATTTTGAAACTATATTAATCGATAGATAAATCTTTAAAATAAAATTAATTATTATATATAGTAATGATGATATTATACCATTGCTCACATATTCAAAGAACTGGAGAAATCTGTGGTCGAGGTAGTAAATCAGAAAGATGCTATAATCATCGTAAATCTCCAGTATATACTCCTTGTAGAGATTGTGGTGTGCGAAATAGGTCTAAATATAATGCATGCGATGATCATGTAGGCAAATATAAAAGTAGAGAGAATTACCATCAAAAAAAGCAGGCTGAATTACATGCAAAGATTGATGTACTTAAGAATCGTATACCGGACTTGCCAGGTTCTGGGTACGACCTATAAATGAAGGGTCGGGTAATTAATTTCGAATTTGAAAGAATATATTTCATACATAGTCATAGTTACTTCTACTATTCATACCTACCAGTTATACCTACTATTAAAATGTCTGCCATCACAAGTGAAATCGTAAAAAAATATAGATTAACCCCTCAGATGGACCCGTCTCAGCTAAGTGCCTATGCCAATGAATTCCGCACTAAAATTCCTGACTGGCGCATTCGTAAAAATGCAAGAACCCGTCTCCGAGATCTTAAGTTTAGCCCAGAACAAATATCAGCACTCCTACCGGATCAAAGAAAACAGAGCAAGCCAGATACTGTAAAAAATAAAGTTCAAAAAATTATGGAATCTACTGATCCAATTGGCGAAGCGTCTACTATAATTTTTCTTGAGAGTGCATATACAACGCCAGAGAATGTTATTGCAATTGATTCAGAACTCAAACGCATTCGGCATGGTCTGCGTGAAAAGGGGGCTTCTGAAAAGGTAATCGATGCTTTACAAGACACTGATGGTATCACTCGGGAGTCAAACAGGAAACAATCTGAAAATCGCAAGCTTCGTGCAAGAATTGGAATTTCCCCTTCCGAACATTTTAGTTTAGAATCTATAAATGCAAGACTCCAAAGCTATGATACTGCTAAATTGCCCGACATTCAAGCTCTTGCAGATGTAATGGTAATGCTCTGTATGAGGCCAGCTGAAGTAACAACTCTCCGAATTTCTTATTTCGAACCACCAAATGATGATGCACTGCATCGAGGAAGCAAAGCTTCGAGTCAAGGACTCATCTCCGATTCTCTTCCTGAATGGTGGGTTCCTGGATGTAATTGGTATGCAACCAGTTATGCTAAAAATCATAAAAACCATCCTCGGGAATTTCTTTCGATGGAAAAAAATCCAGAACGTGCTTGCCAACTACTTACCTGGATCCAAACAGCAATAAAAAATGGCCATTTACGCAACCCTGGTATTGTAGGTGTTAAATGGTTAAATAAATTTCTGAAAAAATATGAGTCAGAGACTCTATGCTCCGCATATAATCTTAAGCCAAGCGATTTACGAAAAATTGGTGCAGATCATGCTTGCATAGTACATGAAGGACGCAATGATGCTGATAGATTAAATATCCGAAGAAAAGCACTGAGGCATTCTCCAGATGGTCCACATTCCCCTGCAGAAAACTATGCTATAATAAATGACAGGCGAAAAATTCTTCCTTCTGAGCCAAAAGATAAAGTTGATCGTATCCCTTACAATGATTTGATTGAGGAACTTGATTAGAATATGTGCCTATTTCTTATGAAATGGTATTACATAACTGGCACTAGCTCCGCTATAAAATACCTGCTCCGCTAAAATGTAAATCGTATATTAAAGTTAACAGGTGCTAATCGGACCATGTAAATGTTCTAGGGATGATTCTTTACAAATAGGCTTCCCGCTACTTAAATCATAGTAATATCCTGCCTCAACGTCATTATCAGAAAATATTACGCTCGTATAATTGGGTAAAATAGAAATTGGAGGACAGGCTTTGTTAGATGTATTTACCTGGATTTCTGGTGAAACCTTTTCAGGAAATGCACTTATCTCAGTTTCCGGTAATTTTTCTGAATCGTTTGAGATAGATGGTTCAATCACGTGTGCATTCTTTTTTGGAAAACGATTTATAATATTTCGGATTTGAACACCTGTTAAACTAGAAATAGCATCAGCACTATATGTAATTTGCTTGATTTTATCTATTCCTATTTCTTTGAACAATGTATAAACATTTCTGGCCTTGTGGGTTTTCATACGTAAATACTCTCTCTTGATACCAGGAAGATATGGTTCCATTTCATTGTAAATCTGTGTTCTTGCCATTTGATCGTTGTTAATTTCGTTTTTTGAGCTAATATCTCTGACCTTTTTTTCGAATTCCTCACAATAATAATACCAACGTAAAATTTCTTTCTGACCAGTTTTTTTAGCCTTGTCAAATAAATAAGCTAAATGTAATGCAGAACCTAGAGTTCCACAAAGTGAGGATGCTTTCGCATCAAGATCACCTTCATCTAGCATATTTTTAGAAATTTGTTTATCAGATATAGAATTCGAAGGGCTTTTCTCGTTAATAAATACAGATAACTCACGAATTAAACCTTGTTCCACTTTCTGATTATAGGGAATTTTTATTTCAGTTGTAGGGTTTATTTTGGTAGAAATGACACTTTGTACTTCAGAAGAGGAAGAAATTTTTTGTATCGCTTCTTGATCTTGAAGTTTCTTTTCTCTGTTTCTCTCCCTCATCATATTACTAACCCTTTCCTTTTCGTTTAGATCCAGAAAATTATCAATATCTTTGTCTTTCAACGATTTAGTTAAGTCGGAGACTCTGGGCTCAACCCATTCTACAGGGGTGGAAGACGCGTTATCAGATGTATTTTCTATCTGCTCGGAAGTTACAGAGTCATTTGTTTCGCAGTGAGATAAAATTTCTTTGTTAGAGTGGTCTCCAATAGGTAGAAAAGTTGCTTGTGGTTCTGAATAATCTAAGGATGAATCGGGGATTTGAATCTTTGCTTCCTGTGTATTAGTAATGGTTTGAGTTCGCTTTTTGATTTTCTCAAAATCATTTTCCAATTTAGTTACTTTGACCTTAAGCTGAGTATTCTCTTCCACAGCATGTTCTAATTCCGCAATTCTAGCTTCAAGCGCTTCTTTTTCTTTTGCGGTCTGTTCTAATTCTTTGACTCTAGCCATAAGCCTGGCATTTTCTTGTTTTAATAAATTTAATTCGGATTCCATGTTCGATGATATTTTTTTGTATATATAAGAAATAGATTTATTCAAAATAGAAAAATCACATGCGCGTAAAGAATCTTTATGCCGATCACTTTGGCAAGAAAAAATATCTAATGTCGTGTAATATTATGCGATCACTGGATCTTCTCTGTTTTACGAATAAATAAGAGGTATCTATTGTTGTTGTATAAAAATGATTAAGCTTATTTTTTTGACATCGAATGAGGCCTGTGCGTAGTATAAGATATACCAAAATTTTTGATTTACCTATCAGAATGAATTCACAAATAATTATGATCGGCAAAGATAACAGATCGTAGATAAATTTTAATGAGCTGACCGTGTAATTCGAAAAAACCAATGATTGTTGATAATAATAACTTTAATAGCGTGTACCCATAGCAAATCGACAATCAACGCCAGAGAGATTCTGAAATGCATATAAAAACAGCTCGAATTCGTATAATTTTTCTACTTCATAACTATAACATTCAAATAAATATAATAAAAATCTGCT